AGTTCACTCCTGACATTCTTTTTTGTTCTGTTAAAGGCAGCGTCGTTCCCCTAGCCAACAGATTTCTAAGAGTCAGCTTTAAGTCTTGCCTTTTCCTTCCCTTCTCCCATGTTCAAAAACTTGGCATGTCCTCTGTTTTCTACCTTTCTCCATTTATCTTGCACTTATTGTTATCTTTCCTTTCTTATTCTCCTAATTCTAATTCAGGCCTTCAGTAATTCCTCTGTCTTTCACATTTTCTGATAAGCATTGAAATAACATAGACAATAGCCAAGTGGCTATAAAGAAAACATCCCTCTTTACTTTGAAAAAGGTCACTGTAATCAGAGTTATACAAGATGGGGCTGCGAATATAAATAATTTTCAGAAGAAAGGATTGTTTAAACATTTATATCGTGTCCTGCCTAAGTTATCAGATACAAAGGAAATCAACTAAACCTTGAAGGATGCTGGCCTTATCCCCTCTTAAAGATATGTTACAGAAAATCAAAACATCTCGTTAGTAACTATAACCTGCAAATCCAGCACAAGTGGTCTTACTTCAATTATTGTTCCCGTCAGAATATACCTAGAATACTAGATTGGAGATGGAAAGAAGATGAAAGATTAAATTTTCTAGAAAGAACAAAGGAAAGATGCTGAAGAATAAATAACAAAGGGATGCATCTACAACCAATAGAAGATTCAAACCAAGAACTCAAAAACTTTTGTTAAATGACTAGTATTAAAAGAAAACAAAAGCCTAAAGATTTTAGATTTAATCCAAAATGTGATGCAAAACCTTTGATAACCTTCCATGAATTTACTGGAATGGCATGGGTGAAAAGGAGAAATCATTTTTTCAATATACTTAGAAGGGAAAGAGAATACCTGGATGCTAGTCCCATGCTCAGCTGTTGTGTGCCCCAGACAAGTTTCTCAATCCTGTATTTATCTGTAAAGTGAAGATAATTATTCCTAACCACCTCACAGTAATATTGTAAAGATAAGTGGTATCATCTTTAAAAGGCTTTAGGAACTATTAAGTATTTTGCAATTGTCAGGAATTTATTTTATTTTTATTTTCAGGAATTAAAGAGATTTCTGATTAATAAAAGGTACTCTTTTCTAAATAATGCAGAGATGTGCTATGAGCCAAACATCTAGATGCCATCACAATTACTTGGAGAAGGATCTATCAGATGTTTCATGACCTCGATTGCTCAGAAGTTTTACAGTATGCAATAGCCTCTTTAGAGCCTAAATAAATGTGATTATGGAAATGGAAAATAGACCAAAGTGATATTAAGGGTATTCTAAAAATGTAAGCTTACCCAAGTAATTCAATTTTTTGAAAGAGATAAAAATAGTTTCTTCTACTTCTGCTCTCCACCCACACGGCTCCGCAAAGAGTTCCAGATGGGGTTGAAGCCCCATTCTGTAAAATGTGCTACCTACCCTGACCACCGTGATCCTAACTGTAGTGGTCAGTTGGATCCAGCTTATTCCTATTCCTCTCCCCCAGGTCTTTAGGAAGATATCCAAGCAATTAATGAGAATGAATGAATGTGGAAATTGACCTTATGTATTTCCTTAGCTGTGAACTCAGGCATGTATATAAAATATACAGGAAACATGCCTTTTGATTCTGGTTTAAATTTCAATGCCCCTTTATGAATAAAATGGTAAAATCCATCCTGGTTACCTTTAGATCCTCTTCTTTCCTCATCTTGGTTCTGAGTCACCTACTGTTGGATCCTCTCCCAGAGCTCCAACTAATCTGAATCATCAGAATGATCAGAACAATCGCAGTCCTTCCATTAGAGATTTAGTGCTATTCTCCCCCATTGGGTAGTTGTAGCCAGCTCTACCAACCCACACACCAGACAGATTATGGCTAATAAGAATAAGCCCCAGATGACTCAAGCTCCATTCACAACCCGTGCTCAAGACATACCTCGTTTCCCTTCTGGCCTTTTCTCATGTCTTAGGAAAGTATTCTTTGCTCCTGACTCAAGCTTTATTTCCCATTTGGGGTCCTGGTTTTATCCACTGATCTTGAAGATGCATCTTGATTTCTTCAGGTTTTCCCTTGGTTCACTCCACAGTCTTTGGCTTATAATTACCATCTGGTTTTTTCTGCCATCCCTCTCAAACCCACAGAAACAAGCTAAGGGAATATTTCAAAACGGCAACACTAATAAACCTGAACTCCACTTGGATCTCAATTTCAGTGGAGGATACCTTACTGTTTACATCTCCCCTGATCTTGATCTAACCCACTCCATTCTCCAGCACCAGGGTGGGACCACCCTACTGAAAGGGAACCTCAGAACAAGGGAACTCTAATGCTGTGAATACCTCTCAGCAAACCAGTCCTTAACTAAGTCTCAATGTTGATGAGAGTGAACCCAAATGAATGGGAATTTAGGCACTGTCTGCAAGGAATCCCCGTCACGGACAATAATTTCTCACAACACTAACTTTAAATATAGTCACCATTCAATTATTGTACAGCTCTTCTGTTACCATTTATATTAGGTAATTTGCAAATGTGGGCAATTCAGAAAACAAAAGAGGTTCACTCTCTTTTAATTCATCTTCTATAAAATATACTGGTATGGTTCTATAGTTGTCCCAAATTAAACATTTTTTGTCTTTCTTTCTCCTACAATGCATGGCTTAGAAGAATTATAAAGAAAATCCTGAATTTTTCAGGGGCTTTTAATTTTCTCCTTCCACACCATATATCTCACCCAGAGCTCTACATTCCTTATCTTTTTTATCCTCACAGTAATTGTATGAGGTAAGTATTATAATTCCTGTTTAAAGAGATGTTAAGTGATTTGTCTAATGTCACACAGCTGGCAAGTGGTCAAAGCAGTATTTGAACCCTGATTCTTCTAACATCAGTGTCTCTGTTATTTTCACTATACTATTCCACTTTTGATGAGATGAGAAATTCTGCCTCGAAAAAAGAGTTTTCACGATAAAAAGAAATGAGATATTAAACCATAAAAAGACATGGAGGCACCTTAAATGCATATTACTAAGTGAAAGAAGCCACTCAGAAAAGGCTACATACTGTATGATTCCAACTGTATGACATTCTGGAAAAGGCAAAACTATGGAGACAGTAAAAAGATCAGTGATTGCTAGAGATTAGGGGAGATGGAGGGATAAAAAGGCAGAGCACAGAGAGTTTTTAGGGCAGTGAAACTACCCTGTATGATACTAAAATTGTGGATACATGTCGTTATACTTTTGTCAAAACCCATTGAATTTAAAACACCAAAAGTGAACCCTAATGTAAACTGTAGACTTTGGGTGATAATGATGTCTCAGTATAGGTTCATTGATTGTAAAAAATGCGCCACTCTGGTGTGGGATGTTGATAGTAGGGGAGGTTGTGCATATGTGGAGGCAGGGCACATAGGACTCTCTGTACTTTCTGCTCAATTTTACTGTGAACCTAAAACTGCTCTAAAAAATAAAATCTATTAAAAAAAATTTTCCCTACTAACAAACAAATAGACATCATGGACTTTATGTTACTTCATACCTTGCTCTAATTTCTACCATAGCACTTAGGATGTTAAGAAGAGAACAGAGACTATTCAAAGCTAAACCAATAGAATAAGATACTAGTAAAAGTAAAGACATCTTCTGACATCCTAACTCAGTCTCTATTTCCCTTTCTTTCTCCTTCCTGTAGTCTATCTTGTCAGCCTTCTGTTGTCTTGCCTCTTTTATCCGCACCACACAGCCTCTATATCCAGGAGGGAAAGAAAAAACCAAAGCACAACTTTTTCACACTACCTCTTAGTATTAAGTGTTCCAGTTACTATTGCTTCCAAAACTTCGTGGTGTGAACCATTTATTATGCTCATGGATTCTGTGGGTTAAGAATTCAGACAGGGCACAGTGAGAATGGCTTGTCTCTGATCCCTGATGTCAGGGGCCTCAGCTGGGAAGACTCCAAGACTGGGTTGACTCAATAGCTTGGGGCTGGAATCATTTGGAGGCACTTTTTATCACATGTCCAAAGGTTGATGCTGACATGGGATGGGACCTAAGCTAGCCTGTCAGCTGAAATACATATCTATGGGTTCTCCATTGGTCTCTCCGTGTGAGCTAGTTTGGGCTTCCTAGTTTGGGTATGGTGGCTGTGTTCCAGAAGGGAGCATCCCAAAAGAGCAAAAAGAAGTGCTTAACATATAATCTAGCCTTGGAAGTCACATAGTGTCCCTTCTACCATACTCTATTGGTCAAAGTGGCCACAAAGCTCTACCCAGATTCAAGAGGAAGGTACATAGACTCAAACCACCAGATGGAAGGAGTGTCAAGGTCACATCACAAGCAGATATGGAATAGGGGATATTGTTGCAGCCGTTTTGGATAATATAGTCGACCACAGTAACTCTCATTATATCTTATTGTATTTTAAATATCTAGGTATGTATTGCATTTCAATGTCTGGGTAGACTTTGCTTCACATCTTTATTTCTGATTGTCTATTTCAGATTATAAACGGCATAATGGCAGGGACAGCTGTGTTGAGTTAATTTACATGAGCTCCACCATAGCACCTTGTACTTGATAATCACAGTACATAATATTATTACTAGTGCTGCAATTGCTGATAGATACACGCATTTGAGCAATCATTATTTTTTACATTTGTAATGTGTTGCAGAAAATTTCCACGCTAACCAAAAAGACATATAGTATCTTTAATGTGCAAGCGAATTTTATTGCTCCAATAACGTCTTGGTTGCTTGAGAGGAGTATATAATTCCTTCTCCCAAGTAAATAGATTCTTGTAAAGCAATAATTGAATCACACAGTTGAGGGGGGGGAAATCACTACCTTGAAGGAATTATCTTTTTTCCTCCACAATTAATCACTTTGGGTTTAATAGATTATTAAGAGGTTTATATTAGTAATCTGTGCGAGATCTTGAACGTAAATGTTTCTCTCTTCTGAAAAGTTAACTAATGAAGGCAATTGTCCCTTTTCAGTTGATTTCATAGGTGGCTTTGACTCTTACGGCTATCAAGGGCCTCAGAAGACATCTCATTTACAACTACAGCCTATGTACATGTAAGTACTTTACTTTGGAGATGTTCTTCTGGGATACTAAAAGAGGATTAAGTAAATGTTATTGCGGCACAAAATAGATGCATGCAGCTTTCGTTCAGTTATTTACTTCCACTATTTTCTCTTCTATTAATATTGTTTTGATTGGGATAATTCTAATAACATTTTCTTCATAATTTTATTAAAATTTAACTTATCAGAAATGCCATCTCTAAAGTTACTTTCAGTCATGGTATCAACTACGTGGCTAAAAAGCCTGTATAATATACTACTTCTTTCCATTACCCAAAAGTTGTATATTTTGAAAGTGATATAACATTCTAAGTAGTTATATGTAACTATATAAACCATATTTTCTGGTTTTCTCAGGATAGCCTCAGTTTACATGGGTTACCCTGGTGTATATTACCAGCAGCCCTATTACTCTCAAAAGTGTTCTCATTTGGATGATAAATGATAGGTTATCACCCTAGTTATGTATAGTGTAAAAAATATCAAAAACTGAGCAATAATACTCTTTCTTTACCATTTTTCTGATGTGAAAAGTAAAAATGAAACAAGAATATTAACCCTGAAGCTTATCAGACCCTTAAATCTAGCACTCAAGAGAGCAGACATACAATCAGAGCCTGATTTTTATATCTGTGTTTAGGCAAATTCCCTTGGATAACAACTGATAACAAATTCTATATATCAGCATCAAGTGATATGCTGAATTGCAAGCGAAGATCAAAATAGAAAGTAAGATTCCAATTCATTTTGAAATGTGAGCTTCTCTCTTTGAAGATATGTGTTTGTCGTCGTTGTCCTCCACCATTGAATCATTTTACCTTTTAATATGGTTAGTGTGTAGGATGATAAATGGATTTTTGGAGTATTTCTCCTCCAGAGAGATTAGTCTTTATACAATGCTTTTAAACTTCTCTTTAAAAAGGGAATGATCTACGCATCATGCCTGCGTTTTTCTTTGTGTCTCTGTGGTTCCCTGGAAACATTTGGTAACACCACTCATAAAAAGACTTTATCAGTTCAGAAATTAGTCGATACTGTATGTCATTCAAAGCATTCCCTCTGTAAACAGTACCTCACACAGCCCCTCTTTTACACCCCACCCCCACCACTACCCTAATTCAGGCCTTCATTCCCCTAAGTTTTTAAATCTCTTTCTTATTTTGAAACCCCTATCCTGTTTTCCATATGGCTGCCAAATTAATCTTCCTAAAGTACCACTCTGATAATTTCATTCCCCTGACCCAAAACTATCAATGACTCCACTCAACAATGTCCAAACTCCTTACCATAGCCGGCAAGTGTACTCTGATCTGGCCCCAATGTTCTGTGTAGATATTATCTCTTCTTTTCAACGCTTAATAACTTTTGAGTCCCAATCATACGCAGATGATGCTGACAGAGGCTGGAAAAATGTAATAATGAATAAGAACTGGTGCATAAATAGTCTGATATCTCCCCTTAGCCATTTTTTTTCCAGGAAAGCCAGAATTCTTGCCTTCTGCAAATATGACATGCATTTTTCCAATTGTCCCTGCTGTTCTCTTGATACCAAACATCTTTTTTTCCAAATTCCACTCTTTGAAACCACACTATCCTTCACACTGTATCTTAAAATATACTTCCCTTATGAAACATCTCTTAATCTCTTTTTCTCTATTTCTCTTTTTTCTTTTGTCCTGTACTATAGTTGTTTTCTATTTATACTATACCTTTCCCGTCTTCCCAGAAAGACGTGATAGTTTAAATAAAAATTAAAATGATAAATCCTTTAAATTCTTTACCATTCTTCTCAATATTGCATCATAGCCTTATTTAAAGTGTTCTATTAAAAAATAAAGATGAGGCAATAAGGAGTGGTGCTTAAGATGACCTATTGAAAGCGGACTGCCTGAGATAAAATTCTTTATGACTTTGGACATATAACTTTATTTGAATAACTTTATTTATTCTCACTATGCCTAAGTTTTCTTACCTGCAAAGTAGAGATGATAGTACATGTACTTCATATAATTGTTCTGAATTTATATTAAATAATGCATGTAAAGCATATAAAACATAGAACATGTCACATAGTAAGTGCTTAATAAACATAATTTATTAGTAGTCAGAATAATGATTATTTTAACCAATATTACTCATAAAAAGACTTTATCAAGTCAGAAATCAACATATACTATATTTCATTCCCAAAGGATTTCCTCTGTAAACAATACACTACATATAATATCAGCCCAATAACATGTCACAATATGTTTGTCTCAAGAGTAGACCAGAACATCTACAAGGCTTGCAATTGCTTGCTTCTGACAATATCAGGTAACCTTTTTATCATATAGCATTTCATTGTATTGGTCAATAAGAATGATCAATGAATAGGATCAATATATAATAAATTAGATGTAACCACTTATGTAAGGACCAGCTATCATAAGAACCTGAGAATGTTAATTATACATAATCAAATATATTGTTTCAAATCAGGCAATTATAATTCTATTGCTGTCTTTAAAGAGGGGAGTCTGCAAATTTAATATCCAGCATTAAATTCCTTGAGGACAAACCTTCCCTTGATTTTATTAAATACAGTCCTTTAAATGCCAAACCAAAAGTAATAAAAATACTGTTTTCTTCCTTACTACCTGGGAATGGTAAAACTATATAAGAGCTTCCCAGTCTCACTGCTCGTGAAATAAGTTAAATGTTTAACGGAATCCAAATTTAGGAATTTAGCAAAACTTAAGGTATATAACAAATCACCAGCCAAAATACCACTACCATCCCTTCCACAAAGCATCCCCTAGGGGACCTCAAATACTAGAACACTAAGATTTTATTTTACAGATGAGGAAAATGAACCAAGAGAAAGAAAAACAAAGGTCACTCAACTTGATTATCAACCAGTTTTCCTGATCCCTTGGTTCAGAGTTTTTTCCAAATTCTTAGGCGGACTATGAGTTTGCTCTGGCATTACATTCTCTGATTTTTCATTTACTTCTTTGCCCTTCTTCACGCCAACTTAGCTGCCATAATTCCACACATGCCTGCACCCCTCCTCTTTTTCTGCATTCCCTTTGTTCCCTTTTCGTAGGATTTTATGTGACTTTCATGAGATATAATGTGAAAACATTATACATTGAGGAATAAAGGACTTTTTCAACTTTATAGCCCTCAAAATGAATTATTGGAGAGCCACTGCCTACTCAAATCCTATGAAAAACCAAACCTGATTCACACATATCCCTCGTCCCCTGCTGAGAGGCAGACCCCTGAGCATCTCCCATGTCTTTGTCCTTTGGGGTGTACCTCCTTCTGTCAACCTGCCATAACTGCGTCTCATAAATTAAGAGTAATTGAACATCATGAGCCAGTTCAAGCACTCTAACAGTATCATATAGCAACTGGAAAGAAAAGCTCTTCCTTAGAAGGAAGCAAATGCTTAAAAGCAATGTGCACTTTTAGCTGTGGGGCTTCCATTATCCCCAGCAAATCTTCTGTGGCCGAGAGCCTGGACAAAGCTTTGAAAACACTGCCCTCACTGACTTCCACTCACAGCCGTGTTTCAGTTCCTGGAGTCAATGAATAGACAGTCCTTGTTTTTTTCAGTTAAGTTGAATGAATGTTCTTGGCCTGTAATTCTTCAGATGATCTATAATCCATCTAAAAAGGAAAGGTTTTCATTAATTTTTTTCTTATAGTTTGGTAAGCCTCTTAGAAACAAATAATAGCTATGAAGTTGCTGCACAAAAACATTCCCATGTCCCCACATTAATTTTCTAACAAAGTGGCTGCTTTGAAGACCACTGACCTGTGTGCCATAGCACGTGTAGATCTGTGTGGGCTCCCTGTAGCATCAACTGTGAGAATATCCCTTGGTCTGTTGGACAACATTTGAAAGCATCGCATTCTTTTTTGCAGCCTAATTGTACAGCAATACATATTCATTTCATTTGTCCCCAGAAATGGATTTTAAATTACCATGAGTGGCCTCTCTATCCAGGAGGTTGCACTGGGAAAAAAAGAAAGGGAGAGGAAAACTGTCTATTTAAAGCATGACTTTGGCTTGGACTTCTGTTTTTGAGGGGGCGGGGGAGGTGGCTTGCTCTTGGCATATGGAGAGGTGGGGAAAGGTGCTGAGCTCTCCCCCTTGACTGAAAACCTCTTTTCTCTCCCTCTCTTAGGTCAAAATAATACAGATGGCTTCAGTATGTCGGCTCCTGGACCTTTCAAAGAACTTGTTTTGCAGTGGCCTCCTGCATTTTATGAAGAGCAAGAAGCAATTGAGTTTAAATATATATACATCTTAACAAAACAAGCAGAAAGCTTGCACACTGGGACACACACACACACACACACACACAGCCACATACCAATTCCACTTGGCCTCCTCTTTCTAACTGAAACAGGCAAACATGCAGGACATACCCATCTTGGATTTCCTAAAAACAGGCTTCTTTCTCCCAGGCCTTTGGAAAGTTCATAAGGAGACATGTTGGTGCCCTCTGCTGGCCGTCACCAACTCCTCTGCAGCCCAGCCAGTCAGCCTCTGTGAGCTGTGAAGTCATCCAGTGCGCAATAGTTTGAGAGCCCTGTCTTCTGCACTCCATACGTCTTGATAGCACCACGGCACTGTAGGCAAGGTATTGCAAAAACAACAAACAAAACATGCCATGGTGATCTTGTAACCCAAGTCCGCAATGGCAGGTTGTTTGCCCTAAAGGCTGTACCGTACATACTTGCCTTAACCCACCTAAGTTGTGCGCCCGAGAATCTCAGTGCAGACATGCCCAAGTCACTTCCTTTAGGCTAACACACTGCTATTAATTCCGAATGAGTTCAAGTCTGTGCGTTTCATGTCAAGAAACAAGACTGCTTATCTCAGCAGCTCCAGTGTGTCTGTGTATGAAATTGCCAGCTGTCAGCAAAGTGCTTTACCATTGAGCCTCCATGGTGGCCGAAGAGAGACAGATAACAATAACTACCACAATAATCGTCATCTTTATAATTCTTAAATATGGTCTTCTGATGGGGTTGAGTGGGACAAGTAAAATTTATTAATCTACTAAACTCATTAATCTACTGGAAGCAGAGAGCAGAAATGGCTTAACTCACTGATTTTATTTCTCGCACTCTAGGTGCTTTTACAAGTATCTACAAATGTCTTTTACTAATACAGAAACAGCTGAGGATTTCTATCAACAGAGGCCAACTGAATATGTACTAGCTATGTTTACTCTTTTATATCTAACTCAAATTGAAGACCCTATGTAGGTGAACTTTTTTTCCTAACTTCGGCGTACGAGATTATTTTTTGGGTGGGTGGGGGGAGCAATAGTTACCTTGGTGAAATATTTGAGATCTCTTTGTGGTATTTGGGGGATCTGTTGCGTGTTAGAGTGTATTTTAATCCTCCTGTATTATTGTGGCAGAAAAACTGTGCTGTTAACGTAGTTGGCAACAAGATGCCTTTGGAAACTTAATAGTAGGTCAATGTGTTTATGGAATATTCTGAATTCCTAGGAAATTTTGTTCTATATATTCAAGCATTATTTGGTTTTCATTAGCAGGAAACATAATTAGCTCAGGCTTGTCAGGAACTCAGATGAGTCATGGTTTTTCCTGGATCCACCTGAGATACTAAAGTCTATTTTTTTTTAACTAATACATCATCCTTAAATGCAGTGAAACTCAGACTTGAAAAGTTACAAATTGGCATGGAGCAACTTTTTCTCCTGGTTTCTATGAAGTTTCAGTTATTGGGTTAACCTCCCTTGGACCTTAGCCCATCCAGATCTACATAAACCAGTCCCATTACTGTGTTTGCATGGATGTGTGTGATCTACACATATACATTTGAAAATGATAAAGGAACAAAGGTTACTATTGGAACATAACTACAAAAAAAGGTTCCAGCTCTTGTGCTTGAATTTTCTCAGTGGTTTGTATATGTTTGTCCATACATACACATATAAAATATCCAATTGAAAACATGTCAGTGAAACCTCATATGATAATTTTATAGTAACATGCATGTTTAATGTATGATAAAACTATTTACCAATGTATTGTCCTTTGATTCTTAAAATATAAATACTATACATGCCAGAAACTATTCTAATGTGACTATTAATGTGACTGTTTAAAATGAGGTTTCACTGTACATTCATGATGTGATGAGATTCCACCTTCTAGGACATGTATATGGATAGAGATTTCAGTGCACAGAGAATAAGCCCTCATATTCCTGCTTTAAGTTGCAGCCAAGTTACCACCTAATCACTCCAATCATCACCACCAAAATTTTCAAAAACAGTTGTTGACTACTAAAAAGTAATCAGTGGACAGGTCTTTTCTTGGGAGCAGTGAGCACAGTGGCGTGATTATATCTGGAAAACCATCTAAGTTGTACAGCTGTATCCTCCTCAAAATCCGGTGAAGAATGCTATTTTTCTAGGCTGAGCTTTTGTTATAAACCTAATATTCAGAAGGCAAGAGTTACAATCCTGATGTGTCTTTTTTTTTTTTGCGTTTGTTAATTCTGAATGTATTTTTAACAGAGTGATTTTTTTGACTTACTAGTGTAATTTGCATTTTAAAAATAAATGGAAAAACCATGAAGTTTCCGAGCCATGCGTGAAAGCCCCTTCTCCTTCTCACGGTGTATTTATGTCACCTACAGGGAAACCATATTAAATTCATATGAGGGCAATGCTGATATTCTGTGCCGTGCAGCGATGTGCCAGCAGTAAAAAGAAATTGCCAGGTCGCGGCACCATTTGAGCTCAGTCATAGGTAATACATACCTTCATTATCTCCTGACACTATGGGTTCTTTTACAAGCCTGCCTGGAATACACTTGCTGTCATTTGGAGAAATTTTTTTTTCCCTTCTATCTAGAATTTAGAGTTAGCATCAGGCTAAGAGCTGGCAAAGGTATTAGAGCACTCTATTAAAACCTTGGTTAACCTAGGTAGGGCTTTTCATTTTTTATAGGCTAAATTATTTAAAATAAAATAATTTAAAACACTAATTTATTGCCCCTTTGATGACAATCTTTGACGACACCTAGAGTGAAGCGTATTAGGGTAGGATAGATAAGTAGAAGAGATTAACCCCTGGCATTTGTGGTTGTACAACCAGAATTTCAGCTGAGGTTCACTGTGTGGGCTGAAGGGATGGAGGGCAGGAGACTCTGGCTGCTGGTGGGGTTGTATCCTTCCTCTCACTGCACACAGACACACATCAGCCCCCAGAAGCCAAATGCTGAAATTGATTGAAAACAAGGAAGGCTTTGAGGCAGCATTCCAAGAAGTTGAAGATCAACTTGTACTTATTTGACTTCTTGGGTACACAGTGAGAGCCTTGTAAATGATCGAGTCTGTTTTTACTTTTGTTCCCTCTGTGAAAGTATGCTGATGCGGGTTCCTTGAAGAAGGTGTTCATGGTTGTCAGGATGTTGCTTCACACTGTGAGGTCAAATGCACATAACATCTCAGCTGCATGTAAACAGACAAAAGTACATATACCCTAAAGAAAAGATTCCTTCTTCTGGAGTTCTCAATTAAATAAGGTGTGTATTCGGTAAACAACTGGTGGTAGCAAGCTCTCCATCTGGTAACTATTAAAAAACATAATCACTGAGTGAAGCAAATATCCACCATTCCACTGTACTATAATAAGTGAACCCTTCAAACTCAGAAATACAAATTCGTTTTAAATAGGTCATATTGTAGAACAAACTTTTGAGATCCAAACCCATTCATCATAGAGACAATAAACTAAGGAACACAGAGGTTAAGAAATTACTCAAGGTTACCATATACACTGAAAATGCAAATAACTCACCATTCTACAAGTTCTAGTATGTGTACTCTGGTCAGAATAGAAAAAAACAAATCCCAGACGCTATCAACTGATCCTGGACTGTGTAAATCAGAAAAACCTTGATAAGGAAGACTCTAAGACAGTATAAGATCATAAAGTGTTTCTGAATTATTGTGTATTCAATTCAATATAGTCTCAACATTAAATATGTTTTATTATGTTATAGTTCTTTTAAAAACCAACAACTCATACACATATGTAAACATATATTATGATATATTTCTGTATATTAGTCAAACAATTATGTTCAGTTTCAAGGTTAGAAGTTTTTCTATTTCTTTTATAATACATTTATGAATAGCTAATGTTAGATTGATCTTGACATCAAGATTCTTACATTGTAAAAAATGGAGCCCCAATTATTCTCATCACATGTGAATCTTTGCTCAGGATCCATGTTCAATCCTTTTTTCATTGTATTACATCTACCTTCCACCCACTTCCAAGAAAGGAAAGAACAAAATCCGTGATTGATACATTATGTCCAATTTAAAACAGGCTCGTGTCTCGAAACAATCACTTTTGATAGCTATGAGAACAAAAGCTCTAAGACATTTATATACTCTATTCCTTCTAATTCAACAAAAACTTGAACTAGATAATACAATCAAGGGTCTCATTTACCACCGAAATCTCCACGAGTATCATGAGTTATGATTGCCAGTGACAACAAAGAAAACAAAGGTGAATTCTTCCTGCAAGATAGAGGCAGACCTTTTTATAGTCTCTAGAATTATAGTGAAGGTAGTTTTTTAAAAAAATCCTTAAACATTATGGAGTTTAGAAGCAAATGAACTTAAAATTTTGATGGGTAATGAAAGTTGATTTCTGTAAGATAAATTCAGAAAGGAAAAATCCTTTTATAAGCCACATGTTGATGCTCTGACACAGTCTAAACGGTTATTAAAATTAATGTAAGCCTTTTCTATAATGAGAGCACAGAATTGTAACACCTTAATAAAACAGGTATATTTTTTAACCTCTCATTTTACTCTCATATAAATTTAAACTGTAGCAGCAACGGAATAAAACAACTCCCAGAAAAGATTGCAAATTGATGCTGTCACCCCAAGGATGATGGATTGATTCAATTAATCAGTAAGTCTTTTCTAAGAGTCCTTCAGGGAGTTATTTACCAGAGGCATACCCTGTTTATTCCCCTTCCAGGCGCCTGTCATTTTTCTTCATTATTCTTCTAGTTTTACTCGTTATATCCTTTGGGGATATGTTGATCTCCATGTGCAGAGAGGCTTTGCACACAGCTGTCTAGATATAAATCTTCCAAGCTTCAATCTGGAGGCCACCAGAACACCTGAGCCTCTTGTCATTGTCATCTCAGGCTGACCAAGACTCTGAGGATGAAGTCAAACAAATGGACATTGAGCTATGAATGGTAAGTCAACAGGAAAGTGTCACATTGAGTGAAAACTACAAAATATCCTCCATTGGTAAGAATGTATCAACTTTGTGCTCCAAACACCAGGGAACCAGCCTTCCCATCTCCAAAAGCAGGTAGGCAGGGCAGAACCAGAGGGCTGAGAGACTGGGGGCTATGCTAACAATTTATAGGAAAACAAAACTTCTTCGGTGATTGTGTTGTTTTGGGTGCTGACAGGCAAATCTTCTGAAACATGAAACATTTCTGTTTCTACTGGGCCTATCAGTTTAAGTTGTAAAAAGTAAGGATTCAAGGAGAAAACATCTGGAAAGGAATTTCAATGCTAAATCTTGCTATCAGGGTTGGCTGCATAGTTTGTGAGGCCCGATGCAAAATGAAAATGCAGGGCCCCTTGTTCAAAGAGTAGGAAAAAAGTGCTGTTAAAGGTACTAAAATATAAAGATTTTTCCTTTAAAACTATTTTATTACTTATAAAACAAAAAGAGAAACAGTAACATAAATAATAGAAAATGTCATAAAAATAATATTTTGGTGTTATAATTTTAAATAATTCAATAAATAGAATACTTTATTAATGGGATATCTTGATTGATCATAAGATTTTTGACTCACCTTTCTACAACTTTATTATGAAGTCATCAAAATGTATACTTTTAGCCAATTCATTTTCAATCAATATAAATGAATGTGATGTGGATCAGTTTTGACAAATCCATCACAATTGATTTTTTTTTTTTTCCTGAGGAAGATTCGCCCTGAGCTAACATCTGTGCCAATCTTCCTCTATTTTGTATGTGGGTCGCTGCCACAGCATGGCCGCTGACAAGTGGTGTACGTTCACGCCCGTGAACCAAACCCAGGCCACTGAAGCAGAGCACGCCAAACTTAACCACTGGGCCATGGGGCCAGCCCCACAATTGATTTTTTTATAATTTTTAATTTTGAAGAGAATCTTTCTGCTGGTGAACTGTTACTGGAGCTGTGAAGAATATTTTATAAACAGTGATAACATTGGGATAAATTTCTGATAAACTTTGTGAAATATCAATTTTAGTCATTTGAGTTGATTCACAGAGCAATTTTTTTAAAAGATTTAACTTTGCATAAAAATAAGTTTTGTGTAAGTCTGAATTTAATTTTAAATAATATACAGTGGCATTTTAGTATTTTCTCCTACATTTCTTGTAACTTGTAGAAGTTATTCAAGAAGCTAAAAAAGGCTTCATGATTTCTACATAACTGAAAACACCTACTTATGTATTCTATTGCTATACCTTCAATTACAAGAAAAATAACTTAAAAATGTCTTCCTCATTAATAATTTGCTCATCTGAAACTTCATATGTAAATAGAGTTTTCTATCTACTGCTAATGGTACAATCTTTAAGTTTGATTTCTATTGGTAAGCCTGTGTATATTTGTTTTACAGTATTGAGGAAGTTTTCAAAACCAGAGACTCTAAATGCTTTGAATAATTCTAATAACTCTCTGATTTGCTTTATTGCAATGTCCATGCATACGCTTTTACCTTGTAATAATTGACCAGCAAAGTTTACTGCCTGAGCACCAGCAGTTCCTATCCCAGCACTAAACCATAGTTAATATTTGGCAGAAG